AAATTTTATGTAACTTACTGATGATATATCTTTAGAAAAAGGTGTTATATTAGTACATCCAGCATTAGATAACATTATTCACCATGCTCTCATTTCTCTATCATTTAACACATGATTTTGTGAATGTAAGTCTTTTAATGTGTCAGTGATTTCAATTATAGAATTTTTTTTCTGCCATTGAATAAAAAATTTATGTCATGGAATTGATGATGATGTATGTTTTTTTAAATAACAATTCCACAAAGCTTCCATTTTATCAGCATCACCCCATTCCTCAGGCTGGCATTTAGGTACACACATGGTTTGAATAAGAGATTGAACTTGAGAGTGAGTGATACCAAACGGATCAATGCCTTTATACTCTTTGAATTTGTTGATTTTTTGTCACACTTCATAATCTTGATACATTTTTACACTAGAATTTTTTTTAGTAATCTCTTGTACAATCAAGGTCCTTTTCTTCTGTTCTCCAATTGAATAATAAAATGAAGACTTAAAACCTGGGCCTGTATTATGCAATTGTTTATCAGAAGTTATACCAATTCCATACACAAATAACTGGAATTTTTCTAATTTACAATTAAAAGGATGAAAATGAATATTTTTCAAAAGCTGCTCATTAATTTCCAATTTGTTGTGACCCATAATAAGAGGTCCAGAAAGCTTAGTCTTGCTGCCAAAAAGTTCTTGATAAAGTGTGGTTATTGCAGCTGAAGAATTGTCAAAAACAGTGCTTTTTTTGCCTTTTGCTTTGCAAATATATCCAGGCTGTTGCAATGAGCTTTTGTTACCTTGAACAATAGTAAGAGTAAATTCTGTATCTTGAAGAATGGTTGTTGTTTTCATGTTTACACAAATTGGATATAAATTAGAAATATTGGTGTCAGTATCAGATACATTATTTGTTTGTTGAGCTTCCCACCAATTGCTTGAAAATGGACCAACATGTAAATTCTCATCCAAAGAGCCAAGTAAGTTCAGAGAAACTTGATATTCTTTTCTTTTACTCATTATTTAATATCTATTTCACTTAATAATTGATGAAGTGTTAGTAAAAAATGTGAGATTCTCAAATATTTTAAAAGTTGTAATATTCGTTATATTTATTATATCCAATGATCGGCAAATTTCTGCCACACGGATGAATAATTCATCTTTCGATACTGAAATTCAGTTTACGAAGTGGTTAAAACAATAATTAATAATAAAACCGAAAAAAACAACGTGTAACATTTTTATGAAGATTTTACTATTTTTTAGTATTAGTCACTGAATTATCTGTTAACAAGATTTTTCATTATAAAAACTGAACGTAGATTTTTCATCCATACTTAACGTTAGTTAATGGTGTGCATGATTATAAAAATACGTAAAGAATTTCCTAATGCGTAGTAGTAGTAATAGCGATAGCTGATAGTTAACGGAAATCACTTTCAGAAATAAATTAGTTATAAATGATAACATTCATTCATTTCACATGTTTTAACAAATACAATAATTATAAACAAAAGGATAATTATCAAAGAAAAGCAACGTCTAAAATAAAATCATTTTATAATTTCTTTTCGCTTGTATTTTGAAAAAATAGAGCAAAGAAAATAATAATACAATAATAATGACAATTTGTTTGGTTATAACTGCTGTCCCAAGCCAGCACCAACACTTGCCCTTACAATCGCACCAACAGGCCCTAATGTAGAAAATATAGCTTCACCAATTGAACTTAGTCCAGATTCTCTTTTCTTCCTTAATTCATCATTTAGTCTTTCTCAATCTAATTCTCTATCTGCCTTTTCCCTCCATCTTTCTTCCACTTTCCTCCGTCTTTCTGCCTCTTCCCTCCGTCTTTCTGCCTCTTCCCTCCGTCTTTCTGCCTCTTCCCTCCGTCTTTCTGCCTCTTCCCTCCGTCTTTCTGCCTCTCCCCTCCGTCTTTCTGCCTCTTCCCTCCGTCTTTCTTTCATCTCTAATTTTCTTTCTGCCTCTTCCCTCCGTCTTTCTTTCATCTCTAATTTTCTTTCTTCCTCTTCCCTCCGTCTTTCTTTCATCTCTAATTTTCTTTCTTCCTCTTCCCTCCGTCTTTCTTCCTTCTCTAATTTTCTTTCTGCCTCTTCCCTCCGTCTTTTTTCCTTCTCTAATTTTCTTTTTATCTTTACCTCCTCAGGTAAATAGTTCCACACCCGCTCCTCGAAAGTGTGTAAATTACTCGGATGGTAAACACCTTGACAATTATTTAAGTGTGCTATCAATTTTTGGCGAGAGGCTTTACGAGCTTCCTTATGAGATTCAACCATATTTGGGTTGCCTTTTAAAGGAGGGGTGTCTACATGAATAATCTTAGTAGATTTGATTATATCAGCTAATTCAGTGGTTTCATTT